TGAGACCAGCCTGAGCAAGAGCGAGACCTCGTCTCTACTAAAAATAGAAAGAAATTAGCTGGACAACTAAAAATATATAGAAAAAAATTAGAAGTTTTTCTCTCACACACACGTGCACATACATACACAAACATTAAGAAAAATACTGTTTGGCACAAAAAAAGATGAAGTACTGATACATGCCACGTGAACCTCAAAAACACATGCTGAGCAAAGTAAGCGAGACATGAAAGAACAGATAGTATAGGATTCCATTTATGTGAAACCTTAAAAAAAACTAACCTATAATCACAGTGTAATTTCTGGGGCTGGGGTTTTCAAGGTCAGGATTGACTGGAAGGGGTCACAGTGGAACTCTTTGGGATGATAGAAGTACTTTTATCTTGATTGAGGTGGTGGTTGCACAGGTGTATGAATTTGTCAAGTCTAGTTCAAATGTGTACTTAAAATGGGAGTTGATTTTTTAAAAATACAGTTAGGAAGGTAGTTTTCCTCATTCATTTAAAAAAATTCGTATTTTTACCTTCTTTTGAAAGTTCCTGCTCAACTCCGTCTTCATTCCTGAATAGCAACCATCAGTTATATAATATTATTAAATGAATAACTTGAAGAGGGCCAGGTACTCAGTGAGCTCTCAATAAGAAAAGTTCATTGGTAGGACCTTTCAAATGTTTAGAACCTTTATTTAGAATGGAATATGACATTTGTTCAAACTATTTTTCTTTATTCTCTAAAAGTTACAGAAGAATTGTCTTCTCTCCTTAACCAATTCCAGGATTCTTGTGGATGTTCCATTTGATAGGCAAGTATAAAACTTTTTTTGGCTGTCTTAAATTGTTTATTAGGTATGAATTCTACAAACATTACTTATATTAGCGGTAACAGTGGAGCTGGAGAGTAGGCGCCTTCTCCAAGCTGCACGGCGAGAACCACCAATAGTGTAGTGAAATTTATGGCCCTTTCCAAGGCCACGGCTCTTGCGGCCTGCAGATGTCAGCCCACGCATCTCCCTGTGCTTGTGGACCGGTTTGGTGATCCACTGGGTGTCAGGATTTCTTCTGATAGCTTTATGGAATGGATCAATGAGGATAACCTCAAAAAATTTGTACGTAGAATCTTCACCAACCCAGTAAGAATTCAGGACTCTTAGAGCCCCACAGTGGTGTCCAGCTCGCTCCTCGGCAATAGACTGAAGGCTTCAAGCAAACTTTAGCTGGTTAACACCATGATGGACAGGCTTGCCATAGGTTGCACCCTTAGGAACTGGGTGTTTGCAGCCACCACAGTGCACACGAATCCTGTATATGACATAACCTTGCTTGGCCTTGTATCCCAGTCTGTGTGCTTTATCTGGTTGGGTGGGGCAGGGAGCCCTGTGGAGTGCAGAGAGCTGGTGGTATTGCCAGCAGTGGACCCTCAGAAGAAAGCACATTACATCAGACTGCTTCTTCCTCCATAGCTCCTGGATATACTTGTATGCACCCATCTTGGCTTACCTGATGGCTAAAACTTGGTCATCTGATTGGAGTGTTGACCAGTGTTACTCTGAGGATTGTTAGCTTTTGATTATTGAACACGTAGGCCTGGTTAAGGCTGGGATAAGGTGTTTTGGGAGAGGGATCTATTGAGCCTCTTCCACAGAGAGGTGATTAGAAGTACCTGCCTGCAAATGTTATTTCCTAAAGTGATTCCAGTACAGGGCAGTGGGTAAGAAACATAGTCTCCAGAGAGTCAAACTTGGACTGAAGGTCTAGCCCTTCCATTATCTTTGCTCATAAGTTTCTTCATTTGTCAGTGTTTGTGCCTAGTTTAAGAAGTATAGGCTATTCTAAAGAACATTAGTCATTCTTTTCATTACATAATTATTACTTTGTTATTTAATAATAATTTTTAAAAATCATCATCATCCTAGACATACCAGAGGGATTCCTTTTGAGGCCTTTGTAATCTTCCAGATGAGTGAGTTTACAAATATATAGTAGTTGGCTGGGTGTGGTGGCTCGCCTGTAATCCTAGCACTTTGGAGCGTGTAATCCTAGCACTTTGGGAGGCCAAGTTGGGAGGATTGCGTGAGGCCAGGAGTTTGAGACTAACCTGATCAACAGCAAGGCCCCATCTCAGAGGAAAAATAGAAAAATTAGCCGGGCATGGTATTGCACACCTACAGTCCCAGCTACTCAGGAGGCTGAGTTAGGAGGATCGCTCGAGCCTAAGAGTTTGAGGTGGCAGTGACCTACAATGATGCTACTGCACTCTAGCCCAGGCAAGAGTGAGACCCTGTCTCAAAAAAAATCCAAAAACAAAAAATATTTATAATATTTGATGCAAAAAACAGAAAAATGAGGCACAAGCTGACATGAGCAAAGCCTCTGATTTGTGGTTACAAGGTTATTGGCTAAGCACTTTATAACCAAGTTATTTGTTTACTGCAGCATTTTAGGTCTACAATTCAGTTTACAAATCACTACCTCTGTGGGAACTCCCTTTCTTTTTCAGACCCATGGTAGTAGAAAGTGAATTATAAAGTTTTTTGCTTGGATTTCTTTCTCCAAATCTTGTGCATTTGGCTCACATTCTTATTTGTCCACTCTCCTGTTCCCCTCCTGATCATCTCCTGTCTTTGTGAAATACTCTTGGTTTTCACAGCTGAGGCTTTAGAAGTCCAGGACTATCTTTGTTATAGGATTAGATGGGGAAAGCTAAGTAATTTCTCTCCCCCACCCAAATCTATAGTTTTACAAATTTTATTTAATTGTGAGAAAAATAAATACTGCTTTTCAGGTTTGATGCAGCCAAGTTTGTTATGAGATGGCTCTGTAAGCATGAAAACCCCAAGATGCAAACAATGGCAGTGAGCATCACCTCTATTTTAGCCCTGCAGGTATGTGATTGCTTAAAGGCAAGATATCTGTCTTCCTAGTTTTTATAGAATTCAAATATTTCACATTAGGCTTTCTGTTTGCTTCTAGCTCTCACCTGAGCAAACTGTACAACTTAAAGAAGAGCTCTTGATGGCAGTTAAGGTAGGACGATTGTTGCTTTTTTTTTTGCCTTGGAAAAAACAGCCTACAAAGTATCTGTTGTGAACTGGGCTCTGCCTCATTCTCACTTTTGTAACTGTTTTTTTTTTTTTTTGGTTAAGTAAATTTATGACCATAGTTTTAAAAAATCATTCTAAAAGGACTAAGTGAGAAATCTGTAAAACATGCTCTCTATAAGAAACTTTCTACTCTTACAGCTACTTCTTTTGGAATTTACCTCCACGTTTCTAAATATAATAAGATACTTATACTGCAGTTTCTTGATTTAGCAGTTTTAGGTATTACCAATTGGTTTTGCTGCTATGGTAAATAAGAACATAGTTCTCCTACATATATTTCTATAGATTACATCCTCTTCCAGTCCCCAGCAAACTTATATCACAATTTTTAATAAATCAGTAATCAGTATTTACATTATAATCATGCTAATTGCTCATTAAAAATTTACATAGTTTTATTTTGTGCTTACTTTAGTTGACATTTGGGCCATCTTTTTTTTTTTTTTTTTTTTTTTTTTTGGAGACAGAGTCTCGCTTTGTTGCCTGGGCTAGAGTGAGTGCCATGGTGTCAGCCTAGCTCACAGCAACCTCAAACTCCTGGGCTCAAGCAATCCTTCTGCCTCAGCCTCCCGAGTAGCTGGGACTACAGGCATGCGCCACCATGCCCGGCTAATTTTTTCTATATGGATTTTTAGTTGTCCAATTAATTTCTTTCTATTTTTAGTAGAGACGGGGTCTCACTCTTGCTCAGGCTGGTCTCGAACTCCTGAGCTCAAACGATCCACCTGCCTCGGCCTCCCAGAGTGCTAGGATTACAGGCATGAGCCACCGAGCCCGGCCAATTAATGGCCTTTTGTATATTTTGTTTTGGGTGTTTGGCTTTTTTCTACTTTATAGGATTTTCTTTAATACATTAAGGAAACAAGCCTTTGACCAAGATAGTAGATGCATATATTTTCTCCCAGTTTGTGTTTTGTCTGTTTTTACTTCATTTATGGCATCTGTTGCCATGCAATAATTTTTTATTTTTCTAGGTTTTTTTTTTCTTTCAATAAGAGACAGGGTCTCACTCTTGCTCAGGCTGGTCTTGAACTCCTGAGCTCAAGCGATCCTCCTGCCTCGGCCTCCCACAATGCTAGGATTACAGGTATGAGCCACTGCACCCAGCCAATTTTTTATTTTTATGTGGTTGAATCTATTCTTTTATGCCTTGGGGATTGATGGCACACTTGTAAACATTTTCTTCCTTCATGAACTAGTTTTAAAAATTCCTCATGTATGTTTTTAATCTATTTTTTTTTATATTTGACATGCAAATATTTTATTTATTTGGAATATTTTTGAGATATACAGGTATATTTTTTTTTTTTTTTTTGACAGAGTCTTGCTCTGTCACCCAGGCTAGAGTACAATGGCATCATCATAACTCACTGCAACCTCCAACTCCTGGGCTCAAGAGATCCTCCTGCCTCAGCCTCTCAAGTAGCTGGGACCACAGGGCACACCACCACACCGGGCTAAATTTTCTATTTTTTTGTAAAGATGGGGTCTCGCCCTTGGTCAGGCTAATCTCGAGCTCCTGACCTTAAGCCATCCTCCCGCCTCAGCCTTCCAGAGTGCTAGGGTTATAGGCGTGAGCCACCACACTTGGCTGTAGGTTTTTATCGTATCCTCTTGTATTTCCACTTGGCCTTTGCACCCTTATAATAATTTGTTTTCTCTGTTTTGCAGTGCTACCTTTATGATATTAAATTCTCCTATATTTTGCATCTATTTCTGGTCTTTATTCTGTTCCATTAATTTGTATGTCTGTCTATTTACTAATTTTATAAATGCTTTAATATTTAAGGTCTGTCCTCAAGTTTCTTTCAGTTTTTGTTATCTGTTTGTTTTTTCTATGTAGATACCAGATTGGCTTGTCTATTTCTAAGGAAAAAAATCTCATTTTCTTTGGGATTGTGTTAAATTTATAGATTGATGTACAAAAATTGATATCCTGTGATAATGATTTTGATACTGATTTTTTCCCAGAGAACAGGGTATGTGTTATTCCATTTATTCAAGTCTTTCATGTCCCCCAGAAGTATGTGGACGTTTTCTTCATGTTGATATTGTATACTTCTTACATTTATTCCAAGGCTTTTACCTTTTGCACTGCTGTTATAAGCGGAATTTTATGAGTATTTAATATCCAGCCATTAGGTTTATTTTGTTAATCTGTGTATCTGTTTACAACAGGGATAAAAATCTAGAGTGATTTTGGATGTGTTAGTTACGGAGATGCTTGAAAATGTCAAGATGACAGTTTTGATATATGGGGTGCAGCTGAGAGGAGTAGTCAGGGCTAGAGAAATAATTTGAGTCATCAGTTCTGATATTGGATGGGAGAACTTAGAATGCAGACTATATAACATATAGAGAAAAGGAAAGGGCTGAAATTTTAGGAAGAATCTACATACATAAAACTGAGTGCATACGTAGTTTTAGTGCGCTTCGCTTTATTGCACTTCGTAATTGCAGTTTTTACAAATTGAAGATTTGTGGCAACCCTTTGTCGAGCAAGTCTATTGCTGCCATTTTTCTAATAGCATGTGCTCACTTTATGTTTCTGCCACATTTTGGTAATTCTGGTAGTATTTCAAACTTTTTCATTATTATATCTGTTATGGTGATCTGTGATCAGTGATCTTTGATGTTGTTATTAGAATTGTTTTTGGTTGCCACAAACTGTGCCTATAGAAGATAGCAAACTTAATTAATATGTATATGTTCTGACTGTTCTACCTACCAGCCATTCCCACATCTCTCTTCCTCTCCTGGGGCTTCCCTATTCCCTGAGAAACAACAATATTGAAATTAGGCCAGTTAATATCCCTACAATGGTCTTTAAGTGTTCAAGTGAAAGGACTAGTCTCTCGCTTTAAATTAAAAGCTAGAGATGATTAAGTTTAGTGAAGAAGGCATTTTGATAGCCCAGATAGGCTGAAAGCTAGGCCTCTTGCACCAGTTAGCCAAGTTGTGAATGCAAAGGAAAAGTTCTTCAAAGAAATTAAAACAGGTATCTGTCCTAGTAGTAATAGCTTACAGTTATAATATTTTGAGTATCATTCAGATAAAGTGTGTAAAGCATCTTACCATGGGCCTGTCCACAGTTACTACTTTCGGAGTTAGCCTTGCTTCCTCCTTTGCCTTGCTCATTTATTTATTCATCTTAGTGGCTGCCTAGGTGAGTGTATTACTCTGCCTTTCTTCTCCTCTTGACTCTGTCTCTTTTTTTTAAGAAACAGGGTCTCTGTCACCCAAGCTGAAATACAGTAATACGATGATAGCTCACTGTAACCTTGAACTCCTTGGGCTCAAGCCATCCTCCTGCCTCAGCCTTCCAAGTAGCTAGGATTACAGGTGTATGCCACTATGCCCAGCTAATTTTTCCATTTTTTGTAGAGACAGGGTCTTGCTCTTATTCAGGCTGGTCTCGAACTCCTGACCTCAAGTGATCTTCCCACCAGTGCCTCCCAAAGTGCTAGAATTACAGGCGTGGCTGTTATATTTTATGTATCTTTTCATTAGTTGGTTAAAGTGAAAATAAATTGTCTTTTTCCTTTCACATGATAGTCTGCTACGCTTGAAAGGAATCAAATAGTAGCTTAGCTCGTGTCTGGAAATTTTCTGATCTAAAATGGTACATTGGAATTCATTAAAGCGAGACAAAGGTTTCCTCAAGATGTAAGATTATGTGGTTATAACACTGGCCTTATGTTCTGTCCCTATTGATCTGCTCAGTGGCCTAGAACAGCAGACTTTTTCTTGCCCCGAAATTTTGCCAGGCATGTGCTTCCTCCCACCCACCACTATTCCTGCGTGTGCCCCTTTCTTACCTGGCTGGCTTATCCTCTTTTTCTTCTGGTCTCAATTTACATATTACCTTTGTATAGAGGCTTCCTTCTCCCACCCTTTTTAAAGTAAATTCTTAGGCTTTTATGTGTTTCTGTCAGAGCTTTTACCAGCACTTAACAATTCTTTTATTTAGTTGAGAAAAACTAACTTTTTCTTTTTTTCTGCCTCTCCTATCTGAATGAGTACCTGACTTACAGAAAAGGTATTGACTTAGCATTCTGAATAAATAAATATCGGAATAGCCAATATGTACTGGATTGTGAACTTTATTACCAAGTGCCAAAAATTGGACTAAGTGCTCATTAACCTTTAGTTTTTTATTTTTATCATTTAATCCTCATAAAAACTTTAAGGGGCTGGGCGTGGTGGCTCACGCCTGTAATCCTAGCACTCTGAGAGGCCGAGGCAGGAGGGTCCCTTGAGCTCAGGAGTTCGAGACCAGTCTGACCAAGAGTGAGACCCCACTTCTACTAAAAATAAAAAAATTAGCTGGGCATGGTGGCATGCACCTGTAGTCCCAGCTACTCAGGAGGCTGAGACAGGAGGATTGCTTGAGCCCAGGAGTTTGAGGTTGCTGTGAGCTAGGCTGACGCCATGGCACTCTAGCCCAGGTGACAGAGCGAGACTCTGTCTCAAAAAAAAAAAAAAGAAAGAAAAGAATCAAAACACACACAGACACACACAAAAACTTTAAGAGGTAGATGTAATTTATTTTTAGCAAGAAAATAGATCACAAAGCTATTAAGTGGTAGAACTTGTGTTTGGAACCCAGGTTTGATTCTCAAGCTGTTTTTAACATTACTTTCCTTATACTGGAATTGAATTAGTCATTAGGGCGTCTAACTCCCTGTCTCTCTTGTTTTTAGGAACTTGTAGCAATAGTAAAACAAAAGACTACTGAGAATTTAGACGATGTCACCCTCTTGTTTACTTTGAAAGCACTTTGGAATCTTACAGATGAGTCTCCAGCTGCCTGCAAGCACTTTGTTGAAAATCAAGGATTGGTAGTCTTCACGCGAGTCTTGGAGGTGGGAAGACAGGATTGAGTTTATATGTAAAGTTCTTTTCTTCATGATAAAGTAACCTATATGTTCTTTTGACAGACTTTTTCAGAGTCAGCAATACAAAGCAAAGTACTTGGTCTTTTGGTAAGGTGAATGGTTCTGAATTAATTTTAATTACTTTTTAAAAATACTAACATTTTGGTAGCACCTGCTATATGCTAGGCACTGTTGTAAGCAATTTACATGAATAAACTCATTTAACTTCACATCCCTGTAAAGTAAATACTACTGTATATCAGTTGTCTATTGCTGCAAACAAACTGTAGCTTAGTGGCTTAAAACAATAGCTCTTTTTATTATGAATCTGTGGGTTAGCAGTTTGAACTCAGCTCAGCCGTGCAGTTCTTCTGCTGGTCTCATGTGGGGTCACTGATGTAGCTGCAGTCATCTGGTGGCTTGAGTGGGGCTGGCTAGTTGAATGGGCTGACTCTCGTGTCTGCCAATTGGTACTGGTTGTTGGCTGGGCCTTGTGTCTGCATGTGCTTCCTCACGTGGTAGTCACAGGGCAACAACAGAGAGCGGGTCCCACTGTCCAGTGCTTTGCCTTTGCTTATGTCACCTTTGTACTTCATATCTGTTTGGATGGTGCAGATTATGTGGTTAAGCCCAGATTAAAGGCAATGGCCATCCCTTTTTGGGAGGAGCAGCGAAGTCACGTTGCTAAGGGTTAGGAAAAACTGTTATGTATGTACCACACACTGTTACCCACATTTCATAGATAAAGAATCTGAGGCTCGGAAGTGCCGTTTACCCAGTTACCTAGGTAGTAAGAGGCAGAATCGAAATTCAAGCTCAGGCAGTCTAGCTCTAGACACTCTGGTAGTAACCACTTTATTATACTTTTTCTTTACCAAGGCAATCAATTTTTTAGAAATTTTTTTGTTAATACCTCTGTACTGCCTCTCAGTCAGGATATTCAATAATTGAGAAATTTATTTGTTTCCCAAAGATAACAGTGAAGATTTTCAAAAAGTATTGAAGACATATTGTAAGCATTTGCAGTTGCCATGCCCAGTGCAATGGGAGACAAACAGATGTATGAAATACATCAAGGTGATGATGCTTATAACTTTGGGGAGGTGGTGTAAGATGTACAAATAGCTCTCTAAGATTGACTGTGGTAAGTGCTAGGAGAGAGGCACAAAGTCCATTGGGAGCCTTTGGTGCTAGATTATGAACTCCCTCAAAGCAGGGACTGTGCCTTATCCTTTTATTATACTTTGCCTATATAGGGCTCAGAACAGAGTAAGTATGAAAGTCTTCACAGGGAGGAATAAATTATTAATACTGGAAATCTGAAGGTATAGAAAAGTAGAAAGAAGAGACAAAGGAGGTAGAGGATAAAGGTCATTTTTGGTTAGGGAAGGTGAGAAAATGTAATCATTTCAGGGACACTGTAAAACGGAATAGTTGGAATTTTGGGAGAAGGTGGGAAGTAGAAAAACAATGGGAATTAATGCCAGAAAACTGGATCGAAGCCTCATATATCCTGTACAATGCTAAGTATCCTAGTAGCAAACCTAAAAGATCTTCCTTTCTTCATTTTTTTTTTTTTTT